AATTAAAATTTCCGAAAAAAACCTCCAAAAAATTTTATTCAAACCTTAAATTTAGGTATAGGCTGTGAAGAAGTATATCCAGATGGACGTGTTGCCAAAGGTATAACACTAACACCATCTAAGTAGCTTACAAGAGGGAAATGTGTATGAATATCCCTGGAAAATTGAAAAAAATTTTTTAGAAAAAATTTCAATCAAAAAAAGCAAACTTTGTATAGGCAGCAAAATTATTATTATATCCAATAATAAATTCGTTATTTTCAAAATGAACACTTTCCAATTGCCAACCAGAAAATTTTGCGATTTCTTCAATACGAGAAATCTGTGAAAAAATTTCTTTCATTTTAAAAATAAAAGAAAAATAAATACCGCATTATTAGCCATATCTAATTCTACAACATTTGGTGCTGCATAGACTAATGAAGAAACAAAGTCTAATGTACGTAAATTGTTGTTCTTTAAAAAATATTTTTATAAAATGAAAATTTTTTTGAAATTTTTTCAATGAAAAATAATTTTTTTAAAGAAAGAAATCATTTTTCATGAATAAAAAATGTTTTTCCCCACAAAGGATTCGAACCCATAACCTATAGTAACTAAAATTAAAATATTTTCCCACTACACCAAAAAAAACAATTAATTGTAGGAGTGAAAAAGAAGGTCCCCTACATATTGTTAGAAGGATAAAAGGTTCCCAAAAATCAAAATTATTAAAAAAAAAATTAAAAAATACATTAAGTCTAATTCCTTTAATATTAGCCAAATGACGAGAAACATAATCAGAAATTGTCACCATTACAGAATTGTGTATAAGGCCACGTGGTGTTTCATTAAGCTTTTGGAAGAGAGGATCGCTTTGGAAGCTGCTCAAATCCAAAGAATTGGTGTATTGATTGTAACGAGTTTTTAATATTTCCTGAAATTTTAAGATGAGTTGGAAAGGTTGAAGTCTCTTGTCTTTTTTCCAAAAACGGGAAGAATAGAGATCGAGCTGGGTCTGGACCCAAGGCCTGGGGTTTTCTGTACCCAGAGTCCAGGCATTTTTTTTGACCTTCCTGGGTTTTTACTGAACTACAGGCCCAGGTCAATAAATCAAACCCGAGGGTCCATGAACAGGTTCAGGCTTATCAAAAATCTCGATCTCTAGAAACTAACACTCATAAAACAATCAAAAAGGATGAGGGCGCAAATCCTGTAAGTGAAAAAGGGGAAGACTCTTGGGTTGGTCAAAAGTCGGAGAATAATTCTGAAATCAATTTGACCCTCACGGAAGGAGCCCCCAATATCGTGTAATTAACATACATGTCTAGGATTTTCAAAAACAGGATTACCAAAAAACAAAAGGTTCCTTGGGCACAAAAGGAAAGCAAAAAAAGCTTAAAAACAAACCAAAACAACATTTCTAGTCGAAGTTCCCAACGTCTCAAAAGGTGCAAGCACTCTCTTCTTATAAATAACATATTTCATATTTGGATTGTGTTTGTCTGCTATTCGTTTCGACATTGCACAAATAGCTTCAGCATCATCTTCCGACATTATAGAGAAACGAAGGTCTCCATTTGCGTCCATCTTCGGGGCGATAGGCAAAAAACGATCAACAGATTCGGCCAGAAGGTTTAAAACTAAATATTTTCCAGCACGAGAAGCATTTTTGACCTTTAAAAAAAGCCGAGTTTTTGATTAAAAATGACAATATTGAACAGGCCCGTAGCCAGAGAGGGGTAGGGAGGAATTCCAATTACCCCTCGAAATAAGGAATCTGGGCTAACAAACTGAATTTTTTTGGCCTACGGCCATCGAAATTTTAAAAATTTTCGCCTGCGGCGCTAAAAAGTTCAAACACACCACCCGACCGAAAACGAATCCTGGCTACAGGCTTGATATTAAACCAGACAGACCGCATTTTTTCCTCACCAAGTTTCTTCCTTATATATTTGCATAATGGTCAGAGTTCTTCCCTTCTTCCATCCTAATTTACCTTTCTTCCATCCAAGGGGAAATAAAAATTAAATCCTTTTGATTGTTTATAGGCAAAATATAGAAAGGCAAATAGGATGGAAGAAACGAAAAAGTCTGACCATTCTGTAAATTATAGGAAAAAACCTTGGGGAGGAACAACTGGGCTCTGTGAGATTCAATATTAACCAAAAAATAAAAAAGCAAACCGTGATTTCGTAGATATATGTATTTCGAACAAAATCTCTGCTTCGAATAGTTGGCTGTTGCCCTTTAGAAATATGCCCTTCAATTATTCCAAGCATCTTTTTTTGTAATTGAGAACCGTCTCTTCGATATGACTAGAAAAGGACAATTTTTGAGGTTAAAAATGTAAAAGGAAACCTTTTTTGCTCTATAAGAAGTCCCTTCATCATCGTCCAAATCTTCATATTTTGAAGCTACATCAGGATCTAATACAGCGTATTTCATTGTACGCGCTTTAACATCGAGACGACCACCAGTGTAACGGCTCATTTTTAGATTTGATTTTTAGTTTTTTAGATCCTGCAAAAAGTTTAGGCTTAAAATTAAGTAAAAATTAAAGAAATAAGGGGAATGCCGAGTTTTGAGCCCCCATCACCCTTTATTTTTCTTAAAATGCACATAATGGTCAGGAGTGGGAAAACAGATAAGGGATGTCGAGGACACCTGACCATTTGTACATCCTAAAAAATAGTGGGAGCAAATAACTCCGGTCCCCTCTAGTTTTCCTTAAAATGCGCATAATGTTCAGAAGGGGAAAAAAACCTGACCATTATGTACATTCAAGAAAAAATAAGAGTGGGAAAGAAACTCGTTATTACCCAAACAAAAAACAAAGTAAAATAAAAAAAACACAAGAAAAGGCCTTAAAATGAAATCAAATGACTAATTTATGATCAATCTTTAACACGTTTTTAGCAAATTTTAAACGAATTTAACAAATAAAGGCAGGTAAATTGCTCTTTAAAACTAGCCATTTCATTTAATAATCGTGTAATTGCAAATACCAAGGTTACAAAAACTAATTTCAGGCTGGTTAAGGTGGGGTACAGCCCAAGTAGGCGCGGGCCAAGTAGGCGCGACCGAGTAGGCGCGACCGAGTAGGCGCAGGCCAAGTAGGCGCAAGGCCAAGTAGGCGCACGGCCAAGTAGGCGCAAGGGTAAACTTCTTAATTTTTACCCAAATTTTTTTTATTAATCTTCAACTAATTTTGTTAATTAGTTGGCTGAATAATCAAGCAACTTTATGTGGACACTGGACTTTTTCTAAAACTGCCCTTCTTAGGGAAAAAAATTTATTAAGTGAAGCTCGTTGATGTTTTTATTTTTTGATAAAATTAAAAAAAATCTTTTAATATTTTTCTCATAAAAGCCCCATACTTAGCTGCTGATACGTTTTGGATTATTTGCTAAGTTTGTTAATTAGTGAGAGCCAAGCTGCTTTGATAATTCCTGTGGCTTACCAATGTTATGAATACTCTAACTAGTTCAACTAGTTTAAGGGGGACTAACTAGTTTAAGGGAATGTTATGAATAATTAACTTGTACTAACTAGTTAGCCCTTAGGAACTAACTAGTTTAAGGGAACATGAAGTTTATAGAAAGGTACAATTAACAATCAAGATAAGACTAAAAACTTCTTCAAGGCGTTTCAAAAAAAGTCCAGCTACAGTTAGGATCTTTGGATGATCAGAGGCTTTTAATGGATTAAAAAATAAATTATTGTTTTTTTAATTATTCTTCAACTTTTAATTATACTGAAAGGTTTGCGCCTACTTGGCCGTGCGCCTACTTGGCCTTGCGCCTACTTGGCCTGCGCCTACTCGGTCGCGCCTACTCGGTCGCGCCTACTTGGCCCGCGCCTACTCGGGCGTGTCCCGTTAAGGTGAAATCAATTTCAACACTCAAAGGAAAATCAGGATTTTAGGAAATTAAGAGAAAAGAGAGAGAGAAGAGAAATAGTGTGTTAAAAATAAATTAGAGAAATAGAGAAATTTAATTATTGGCGTTCTGTTTAATTTTCCCCGGTTATTTAAAAAGTTTATTTTTGAAAATTTTTTGACCTAAATTTTCTCGTAAAATTCGAATTTTTTTTGTTTTTTATTCGTTTAAGAGTTGCATTTTTTTATTTTCCTTGTCGTTTTGACGAGAAAAGACGAGGATAGACAAATATAGTTGTTAATTTTTGGCTTGTATTTCTTCGTTTCCTCTTAATTTTAAAATTTTTTCAGATTTTTTTAAAAAATGCCTTGTTCCAGCGAAATGAGATTTTGTTTGATTTGTAAGCGCAAAGTATCAACAAATGGGTTAATTAATCATATAGCTCAACATTTGGATTATAAACGGCACAAATGTACTAAATGCTCTTTTAGGTTGTTTTTTTTTGTTTTAGTTATTGATCAAGACTTTTGAAAAGCCTGGGCCTCCTGGGTTCCGGGTTTGATTTATTGACCTGGGCCGGATCTTGGGCCTCTAGTCCAGGGAAAACCCAGTCCCATAAAAACGATGGTCAAAAAATGCCTGGGTCTGAACTCTGGGTACAGGAAAAACCCAGGCCTTTGTTTAGCTCGATCACTAGTTTTTGTGATTATTTTTCCTTTTTATTTTAGAAGTGTTTCGGTTGAGGATATGGTAGATCATCAAAACCGGACGAGCCATATTGTTGAATTCGATGTAATTTTTTATTTTTAATCCTTATTTCCTTTAAATTGTTGCTTTAAAGAAACAACCAGAGCCTGGTTTTTTTCTTTACCTTTGATTTTCGTAGAAGCTTTGCATGTTTGAAACCGAATCTGTGAACCTAAACGAAAAATCACTTCTGTTCGTTTCCCAATCGAAAACCCTATTCTGGTGTCAAAAAAGCTTTCCCCGTTTCATTCTGTTCATTTAGACCTTTGCCTTTCTTTAATTCAAATTTAATTCTTCCAGTCACTCAAAAATTGGTACCTTGAACGAGTTTGTCAGTTAATCTACAGCGATTTTGATTACGTCGAGAAACACGGTGTTGAAGCTATTCGTCGTATGGGTTCGGCTTTTGGTGATCGAAAACGTTTGGAAGATTTGTTGAAAGCAGAGTAATTTTTTGTTTAATTTTTCTTTTTAAATTTATTTTTTAGAGAGGTCAAATCTGAACATGAACTTCAAATTATTGAAGCGGATGATGAGGTTGAATCTGTGGAAGGTATAAAACTTTAAATATATTTTGATAGGGTAAGGATGGGAAGGGTTTCCCGGTACCTTAAACACGAACTTTTTTCGACCCAAACTCCAAACTAGAGATCGGCTTGGGTCGGACCATGGCCTCGGGTTTTCCTGTAGCCAAAGTCGTGGCCCAAGCATTTTTTGACCTTACTGGGTTTTGCTGGCCCAGAATCTGGTCCAAGTCAGTAAATCACACCCGTAATTCAGGGACAAGCCTAGTCATTTTAAAAATCCTGATCTCTACTCCGAACCCACTATCTGGAGAAACTTTTTGAATCTCACACAACTTTTTCCTCAACCCGCCTTATCCTTGTTATAAACGTTTTGAAATTGCCTTGATTGTGTTAATGTAAATGTCGGTTGCTTGCCCGTTTTGGGGAATATTTTTGAAACCCTTCAGGGTTGAGCACTTCATTTTTGTCTATTTTTGTTTCCATTTCTTTAAGTCTTCAAGTTTTTATCTTTTAGATGACCCACCGCCTCCCCAACAAAATAAGCAAACAACTCCTCGTCCAACACCTCCAATAGATCCGCAAGCAGGAATTGATTTATTAGACCATTGGACACGTTCAATAGAAAAAATGGCAAAATCTCCAGACATTTTGAAAAATTTGAGCAATTCAAATAATTCAATTGTGTCAACTTCTATCAATTCCAATGTCAATAAGAACAATTTAAACAAATCTGGAAGGTGTTCTTTTAAAGAATCTGCACAGACAATTCCTATTGTTTATGGAGCTGGGACTCCTGCTACAGAAAATTTGAGTTTGGAACAAAAAACGGTTTTTAATTTATTTTTAATTGAGGGGGTGTTTTTCTGGGAGATTTTATTTGAGGAAATAAAGGCAAAAAAAGAAGGGAAGAGGTTTATTTTAATTTTTTCCTGAGCACATGACTATATTTGAAACCAGAATGGGACAAATATTTGTCTCGATAGTCGGAATGTCTGGTTCTGTTTAATATCTAATTCTTAACTTGGTAAATACTCAAAAATTTTTACTAGAAATCCGGTCATTTTTCTCAATTTGTGTATTTCCTGATTCCTACCTCTTTGCTTTTTAAAATGTTTTTTTGTGTGAAACATTGTTTCTAGTTCTAATTTCTTGGGAGCAGGCCAACTTACCGCGAGCCTAACGTACCACAGAGTTATAACTTCGTTAAAAATTGCTGAATCTGAGACGCCTTGGTATCGTTTTATGCTCCTCAACAAGCTGAATCGAAGCATACCAGGGCGTCACGGATTTGACAATTCTGAAAGAAGTTATAGCCTTGGCGGTAGGTTGGGCTGCGGTAGGTTGGCCTGCTCCCTCTAATTTCTCTTTGAAAAATATTTTTTTATTTTAACTAAAAATTTTTATTTGATCACTAAGTGTTGTCCAAAAATTCTGACCTTTTTGATCATTTTTCTGATCCCCTCCTAATTTTCTTAAAAAAAATTTTTTTCCATTTTTCAAGAAGCGTTGTTTAGCTGATCTTCACAGACAAATAACTAATGGAATTCCAAAAAGAAAATGTCAAATGTGCAATCAAAATGTCGACAACGATTATCGTTCAATGAAGAATCACGTTTTTCGTGTCCATTTTAGGCCTTATAATTTAAATAAATTTACTCAACTTTTGGAACGGTGTTTTAAAAAAGATGGCAATAATTGTAATATTTTTATTACAAATGATTTACAATGCAATGTTTGTGGACGAGAATTGAGAACTAAAAGTTTGTTTGCTTTTTTATTTTTTTTTTGAATTTTGGTTTGAAGGGTTTAGATTAGTGTTAGGCAGACTAGGACACGGATACTGATTTTGGTATCCGGATATTTACGGCGGATACAGACGGGTATCCGCAGGCATCTTTATAATATCTGTATCCGTGTCCTAGTCTGGTGTTGGCATAGTTTGGTACTATTGCGGTATTCCTGAGAGTATTTTTGGTACTTTCGGTACTCCCGGTATTTGTATTAGAAAAATCCATTTGCCTAACACTAGTTTGGGTAGGGTCATCAATTCTTGATCTCAGGGACGAGAACCGACCCGAAAACCCTCGGTTCCTTACTTCAGTTTTCAACTGGTTACCATAGATTTTATATTCTTCGGACAGGCATTTACGGATACCTTTATTCTTAAATCTATTGTCGCGACTATCTAGTCAGCGATAGGAAAGAAAAGTAAAGAACCAGGAAATGGGCAGCGGCTGGAAATAACAAAAACAGCAAAATTTGCAGCAGCCGATGGGTGGTTGGATGGCCGAACGGATTAGGCCGCAGTTTGGAGAGAATGGGCCCTGGATCGAAGGACAGCAGTCCAACCCAATTTTTCATACTATGCTTACCTATAGTCCGCTCCGCTGCATTTAAAAAACTTACAATTAGTTCCAGGAGCCAGCTTCAGAGATGGCTCTCGGAGACAGTTCAGCAAAGCTTACTAATCTTTTTAGGATATAAGCCAGGGGAGGTTCCAATAACTTTCTTTGACAGCCTTTTTTTAGAAACAAAATTTTTTTTTGATTTTTAGCTGGCCGTTTCAACCATGTTTCCGTTTGTCATTCAGATTATATTTGGAAATGTATTTATACTCAATGTGATTTTAAAGTGAATAGCTTCGCCAATTTTCTTCGCCATTTACAGGTTTCTATTTCTACTTAATTAATTTCAACATAACAAAAAGCCTACAAGTTTTGTCCGCAAATTCAATCCGCAAATCAATTTTGACTTTTTGTCCGCAAAAACTTGTCCGCAAAAATTTGCGGACAAAACTTGCGGACTTTTTTTCAAAATTATTTAAATTTCTTCTCATTTTCAGATTCAACATCGTAAAAAATCTTTTCAACTTGAACATTTTGAAAAAGATGCATATATTCGATTGAGAGCAGATTATGAATTAAAATTGACGCCTTTAGTTAGAAAATGTTTTCCTTTTGATTTACCTGCAATAATTCTTGGTGGAAATATTAATGAAGAGGAAATTCCGGTTGATGAAATTGTTTCAAAGTAGGAATTTTTTTAGATTTTTTATGAATGTTAATTTGGATATACTTTAGCCGGTGGCCGGTTCGAAACCGATTCAAAATATATACCATTCGATTCGTCTCGGCGAGCCGAGTCGAATGGTACCACTCCCAGGGTGCGGAAACGCCTGTGGGCCGAGTTATAGGTCCCCGAAAATCGAAAAACCATAGGGGGGAGTAAGCTCAATTTTGGGGTGAAAAAATCGATTTTTTGAATGATAGCTCATTCGAAAGAGCTCCGCGAGCTGAGACGAATGACACCAAAATCAACGAAATCCGACTTGATTGGACCGAGATATGGACCCCCAAAAACCGAAAATCCAAAAAGGCGATTTTTAGACTAAAAAATTTTTTATACAAATAATACCTCATTCGAAAGAGCTCGACGAGCTGAGTCGAAAGACACCAAAATCACCGGGATTGAACAAGATTAGACAAAGTTATGACACAAAAGACAAAATACCTAAACCTATGGGGCGTAGGCGAGGCGCTTGTGCAAAACCCCGCGCTTCGCGCGGGGTTTTGCGGCATGCGCCTCGCGGGGAGTCTACGGGCGCTGGGTCTGGGCTCGTAACATAACCCTATTCCTATCTCACTTGCTCTGGACGTATTTGGGGCCTCCGTAGCAGCAAAAATCTCCACAGATGCCATAGGTAAGGAGCTAAAATAAAAGATCATAACTTTGTCAAATCAAGTCGAATTTCGCTGATTTTGGTTTCATTCGACTCAGCTCGAGGAGCTCTTTCGAATGAGGTATCATTTGTATAATCGAATTTTTGACCCCAAAAATCAGCTTGGTCCCCCCTTTGGTTTTTCGATTTTCGAGAGCCCGTATCTCGGTCCACAGGCGTTTCCGCACCCTGGGAGTAGTACCATTCGACTTAGCTCGCCGAGACGAATCGAATGGTACATATTTCGAATCGGTTTCGAACCGGCCACCGGCTAAAGTACAGCCGTTAATTTTTATGAATGTTCTTAAAAAATAAAAATTATAAAAAAATGTCCGCAAGTTTTGTCCGCAAATTTATGACAATTCTCGTGCGTGACTGCAAGGTAAAAATATGGAACTGAACACATCCTACGTTTATCTTTTCCATATTTTCCTACCTTGTCGTCTATATAAGCAAATTTTTTGTCCGCATAAATTTGCGGACATTGAAAAAAAATTTTTTATTTTTTGCCCGCTTACTAACTTGCGGACAAAATGTATCCACAAAACTTGAACATTTAAAAAAAATTTTTTTTAATTTTTGTCCGCATAAATTTTGCGGATAATATTTGCGGACATTATTTAAAAAATTCTTTTTTTCAAGTTTTATGCCAACTCGTGAAATTAAACAGCCACTCACTCCTCGTAATGCATTAAAACAACAACAACAAAATACCCCAACAAAAAGTGTAGATGAAGAAATGGTCGATCCTTCCTCTGATGAAGAGGAAAAAAAAGTTGACAAAAAAGAATTAAATGAAAAAATAATTGAATTAAATAAAAATTTGGTGGGGAAGAAATATGGGGGGAATAATAAGGGGAATAGCAGAATTAATTCAAGTAATAGTGGTGAAAGACTTGGAACAACTACAACAAATAAAATGTATGGAAATAAAAATGCTATGACTAGTGGACAAGTACAGAGATACAATCAAGGATATTGTGAGTTTTTTGAAGTTGAAAAATAAATTGAAAATTGCGGACAAAAATTTTTGTCCGCAAATATTTTGCGGACGAAATTGTGTCCGCAAAAATTTTTTGTCTGCGATTTTGTGTCTTTTGGGTAAAATGTCAATTATTGAGATTTGTTTAGCTTTTTTCAATTTTTGGAAATTGAAAAAAAATTTTTGGAAATTTTTGGGGGGTGTTTTATGGGGTAATTTCTCCATAGATGATTTTTGCGGACAAATCTTGCGGACAATTTTTTATATTTTGGATTAATAGATTATAAATTTAGTTGAATTTTAAGAAAAAAGGTGTGATGGATTCTTCAAATAAATTACCTATACTATAACTGGATGCCAAATAAAAAATTTTTTTGTCCGCAAAATATTTGCGGACAAAAAATTGTGTCCGCAAAAAATTTTTTTCTGTCCGCAATTTTGTGTCCTTTGGATAAAATTTCCATCATTAAAAAATCATTTAATAATTTTTTTTATTTTCTAGTCACTCCAAAACGGAATTATAATGCAGGATTTGCACGTATTTTCTTTAAAGGGGGTCATAAACGCCGTTTCCGTTACTATAGGAAGGATGACGATTTTAATTTTCTTTAGAAATTGGAAATAAAAATTGTTTTTTTTTGATAATTATTTTAAATTTTAATGTCGTGATTATTTTATTGATTTTCCAAGTTTGTAGATAAAATGAAAAAAATATAATTTTTTTTTAATTTTTTATACAAGTTTTTACTCAATATTATTTTTATTAATTTTTTAAAAATTATTTCAAATATTTTTGGATAGCTATCAATGCAATAAAATTTTAAATTTGAATTTTAAGTGAGTGTCCTTTTAAAATTTGGTGCTCGGTTAGTTTTTTAGTGTTAAAAAATAATTTTCCCTCGTGGGGGTTCGAACCTGGCCCCCTTTCCCCCTTAAAACCGAAATTTATCCCACTACACCAAAAATGTAAAAGTAAGCGTTTTTGGTCGCCTACACGCCTACCTTCCGTGTGCTTCATTTTTCTATCGTTAATTTAATTTTAGATAAAATCTATAATGGATAATAGTCAACAATCAACTGAAAATAATGAAACGCTTACTAAATTACAAACAAATAGAATATTTATTGGGAATTTGGCAAGTGAATTGGAAGAATTTACAATTTATAAATATTGCAGTGCCTATGGGGAAATTGTTAAATGTCAAATTATGAAAGAACCAAAGACTGATAAAAGCAGAGGATTTGGTTAGATTTTTTTTATTTTTTAAACTTTTTAGAGCTTCCCTCATATTTGCGGACTTTTTTTATTTTTGCGGATTTTCCGCAAGACTTGTCCGCAAATTTTGAATCCCTCAAAAATTTTTTTCCTAATTTTCCCAGAGAAATTTTCCTTTTTTTAGATGTTTCAGTCCTTTTCTCTCTCTAAAAATGCGGATTCTCCAGCAGTCCGCAAGTTTTTTGTCCGCAAATCTCGAAATTCTCCCCTTTTTTTAAAATAAATTTACAACTTAATCATTTTCACTTTTAAGGTTTCATAACTTATGCTCAAACTTCATCATCTGAAGCAATTTTGGATGCACGCCCTCATTACATTGGGCATCACAAAATTAATGTTAGACCTGCATTCCCGACTAGTGAGGTTTCTAAATTTTTTTAAATTTTTTATAAGCTTGCGGACAAATACTAATTTTTGCGGACATTTTTAATTTCATCCGAAAACTTGAAAAAAAATTTTTTTTGTGCGAGAACTCCCTTTGAAAAAAAATTTTTTTAATTTCTAGTTATTATCCCAAAATATTTCCAACACTCCATCATCAAACTTAACCACTCGACGTCTATTTATTGCTTATAACAAAGACGAAGCTAAAAGAAATAATTTATTGGAACCTGCAATTTTTGGTTATTTAAGTACTTTTGGTGTTGTAAAAGAAATTGTTCAACAATTTTCTTCTTCGTCATCTCAACTTCCTTCAATTTTGAATTCTCCACAACCTTTAAATGATTATTGGATTGTTGAATTTTTGGGTATTTTTTATTTTTAATTTTTTATATTTGCGGACAAAAATAAAATTTTTGCGAACACTTTTCGCAGAAATCCGCAAAAATTTGCGGACAATCCGCAAAAATTTTTTTGTTCTCAATTTACCAAAAAATTAATTTTAGACGAAGAATCAGTTGAAAAATGTATGAAAATTGGTGCTTTACATTACTTTTCTGGTGTTCGATTCTATGTTAAGAGAGTTATAAGTGAGCAAGACATTCTTCGACGTAAACGAAAATTGCAGCAGATGGAAGAGGCAATAAACAATCATAATAATGATAATATGGTTTCTTCATCCTATAGTCAACAAGGTTTTATTTAAATTATTTCAAGACAAACTTAATGTTTTTAAAATTTGTCCGCAAGTCGATTTGCGGACAAATTAATTTTGCGGACAACATTTGCGGATTTTTTAAAAAATTTGCGGACAACATTTGCGGATTTTGCGTGCAAATTTTTTGGACCTTTTTAGATTGTCCGCAAGATATTTGCGGACAAATTAATTTTTGCGGACAAATTTTGCGGATTTAAAAAAATTTGCGGACAACATTTGCGGATTATAATAATTTTTTTAATTTTTCAGATTATTTCCAATCTCCCTATGGACGTAAAATTTATGCCTCATCAAATACTTATGGGGATACTTCCATGCAGTATCCACAATATGGTTCATCTCCAGTCCCTACTCCACCACCCCCACCCTCTCAACAGCACATAACAACAACAAAATCGGCAACTACTTTATTATCTTCGTATTCTTCAAAACCTAATGGAGGCGGAGGTTATTTTTAAAGTCTTAAAAAATAATTGTAAGGAAGAGAAAGATCCAGCTGGCTAGCATTTAAAACGCTCACTAGGCATGGGTTCAGGATCTATTTAAGTTAAGGTGAAAGCAGCGTTCCGGTAGGTGGTACACCCCAAGGTACCGCAGGCCCAAGGTATCGCAGAGCTGTAACTTGGGACGCTCTGGCATGGTTCGATTCAGCTCCTCGCGGTGCATTGAACCATACCAGGATGTCCCGGATTCGACAATTCTGAACGAAGTTATAGCTCCGCGGTACCTTGGCCTGCTCCCTCCCGATAGCTCACAATCACTCGGCAGAGCACCTGTACGTGGTGAACGAAAGCGCTTAGCAATAACTGACAGGAGGTCGCAGGATTGAAGCTTACCTCGGATTTAACTTTTACCTCGCTCTTACTTAATTTTTCTAAATATTTTTCTAGATGGTGCTTCAAGACGTTCAGTTTCGTCAGCGGAGGAAATGCTTAAAGGATATGGATATCATTAAGAAGAGGAGGAGGAAAATTAAATTTTTTGTTTTTTTGCGGACAACATTTGCGGATTTTTTTTTGACAACATTACGGAATTTTTTTTTAATTTTTAATTTAAAAATCTTTGAATTTTTAATAAAAATTAATATACATATTTATTAATAAATTTAATTAAAAAAATTTTTTTTTTAATTTTTAAAGGGTTTTTAACCTTTTGATTTTTTAATTAATCAATTAATTCCCAAAATTAATTTTTTCAAAAGGTATGGGTAGTTCTACAATTAAATTGTTGGATGAAACAAGTTATCAATCAACTTATAATAGAATTAAACAAAAACATGGAAGGAGAATAATTGAGGTTTTTATTAAATTATTTTTTAGGTTTAAGTTGTTTTGGATTTCTGTCCGCAAATTTAGTTGCGGACAACAAGCATTTGCGGACATGTTGGATTTTTCTTTTATTAAATTCTATAACATGTCCACCAATTTCTTTAGGGTTTTAGTTTTGCCCCGCACTTGGGAAATATTGCTTTGTCCGCAACTATATTTGCGGACAAAAAATAAAATTGCGGACAATCTAGTTTTTCCTTTTTTTGTTAGATAAATTTTTGTATAAACAACTTTGTCCTCAATTTCTTTTAGGGGTTTAGCTTTGTCCGCAATTACTGGCATTTCAAAGATTTTTTGTCCGCAAATATTTGCGGACAAAAATAAATTTGCGAAAAAAATTTACGGACAATCTAGTTTTTGAAAATAAATTTTAGTATAATCATTTTGTCCGCAAATTCTTTTAGATTCAGCTTTGTCCGCAAATTTAAATCTGCAAAAAATATTTGCGGACAATCTTTTAATTTTCTCTAGGACTGGACAGAAAGAACAGATCCATTAAAATATGTAATTGAAGACTGTGGAATAGCAGCATATTTAATAGAATTGTTCAAATCTTACCCAAATTTGGCACCAAAAAGAGGCTTTGCAGATTTGGGTTGTGGGAATGGTCTTTTAGTAAATTTGTTGGAAAAAGAAGGAATTCGAGGAGGTTTTGGTTTGGATGTTAGAAGGCGTAAAATTTGGTCAAAATTTGAAAAAGAGGGAACTGAACTGAAAGAAATTGTAATTAATCCTGATTGTTTGGATAGTATGGAGGTTAGTTTGCAGGCAATCTTTTGTTTAACGGATTTTTCGTTTAACGGGATTTTTTGTTTAACGGGATTATATGTCTCTCTTCAGGGCGCCTGTGTAGTTGACCACTTTCTCGTTTGGAAAAGATTTAGAAATACTGGGTGGGGGCTAACTCAAGGAATACCAACTCAAGAAACAGACAAGTCAAGGAACGACAAGTCAAGGAAAAGACAGGTCAAGGAACGACCAACTCAAGGAATATTTTAAAAATCAGAATATTCTGAGAAATTAGAATTTTTCAGAATTCTTTTTTAAATTCTGTTTTTCAAAGTGTTCTAATTTGTTTTTAAATTCTTATTTTCTAAAAATATTCAGATTTTTCAAGAAATTTCGATTTTTAAAATATTCCTTGAGTTGGTCATTCCTTGAATTGGTCGTTCCTTGATTTGTCGTTCCTTGACTTGTCTGTTCCTTGAGTTAGCCCGACACGGAAAAACTGACCAGTGGCCGGCTGCGATCAGAGAAACAACGTCTTGTTGTCTTTTCAAAACAAGAGAGTGGTCAACTACACAGCCGTCCTGAAGAGAGACATATAATCCCAGAAAATTTCCGTATACACTAATGTAGGTATTGAATTCTGTTGACTTTTTAATTGGAAATCATTCTGATGAATTGACTCCGTGGATACCTATTTTGGCTGCAAGGTTATTTTTTGAATAAATTTTTTATTAGGAGGAAACGAAAAATTGTTTGGGGAGTGAGGAGGTTGTTTTTAATAGTGTCCGCAATCATCACATTTGTCCGTAAATTTTAATTTGCGGACAACGTGCAAATTTAATTGCGGACATATCCGCAAATTTAGTTGCGGACAATCTTGTTTTTTCCTTTTCTGCTGTTAATGATTTTTATAAGTTTCCTCCATTTTCTTTAGTATCTTTTAGTAGGTTTAGGTTTGTCCGCAACTACATTTGCGGACTAAAAATATTTGCGGACAATCTGACTTTCTCCTTCCCAGACAGTCTCCGCCTTTTTCATACTTTCTTTTATAATTTTTAAAATTTAAATAGACTTGGCTGCAATTTCTTCCTTCTTCCCTGTTGTCCATACAATTTCTTTTCAAAATTTTGTAAAGCAACCCCCTCAGCCCAACAAAAGAAGGATGGCATAATTATTGGTGGATTACAAGACCAATTTTACAAATATTTAGAAAATATAATTATTCGGCTTGGATTTAATTTAATGAAAGATCAATTAAGAATACCTTCAAGAAAAAATGTTTGTTTATTTTTTTAATTTTTTGTGTTTTCAAAGTCCGGAAGTTTTATCCGCAATTTAGGCTATTTTTCTAGTTAATATAAAAAGGGGGACTATTTTTGAGTGACTATAGGGCAATACATAAGGGAGCCTATGAAGAGTCATTTTGGTGTAGTGGAATAATGCCTAGATGTGTAATTACATGGGTAGAGGTTCGAATCCTTTAGATGTTTTGACTTGCGAATGATGTCTTTTTGATCTGAAAAATTTTTTTCTTGAGCTGAAAATTTTTTTTAAATCCTAAAAAATTTTTTTTTAATTTTATATAGAAATGTTTTATTGGAATAATACCAGAAACTGGACTTGTACAAAATTTGGAAGAAGTAATTAATGAATTATTATTGGCTGCTAAAATTTTTAAAAAATCGTTTGCACCTAGACCGGCAATAGAAAAAGTATTTTTTTTAATTTTTTATTAAAAGGAATTTGACTTAAATATTTTTTGTTAGGTTAGAAATTGTTCAAGACTTCCATTAGATGCTAAAATTGATCTTGCAAGGAGAGTTGTCGATTATTTAATGAAAAAGCAACCGGAAAATATCAAGTTTGTTTTGAATATTTTTTAAGAAAAAAAGTTTCAAAAATCGTGAAGCATTCTAAAAATTTGAAACATGTTTCAGAAAATGTGAAATGTTTTTTTAGATATAAAAATCATATTTTGAGTAATCCGAGGCTAGTTCAAAAAAATGTTTCAGGAACATGAAGCATGTTTTCAAAAATCTAAAGCATGCTTCTAGTATTAAAATGCTTCAGAAAAAACTGAAGTTTCTTTTGAAAAATCTGAAGCATGCTTCTAGTCTAAAAATCCAGAAACTAAAGCACAGCTTCAAAATTATGAAGCATGCTTCTGATCTAAAAAATACTGCTTCAGAAACTTGAAGCATGTTTTTCATAATACGAAGCACGCTTCTAGTCTAAAAATCCAGAAACTGAAGCACGTTTTCAAACCTGGTTTAAAGAATACTGCTTCAGAAACTTGAAGCAAATTTTCAAAACATGAGGCATGCTTCAGAATTTTTAGAAGCATTAAACATTTTTCTAACTTAATTCAAATATTCTTTTAGTGGTTGGCGTTGTAGTGGACCCGTACATTTATCCAAACTAAGCGAAGACGTATTGACAGAAGATGACCGTAAAATGTTATCAGAACAAGATAAGGGAATGCAAACATTCCTTCGAGGTCAACACCAAACATTTTTGGTAGAATGTGGAAATGTTTCAATAAGAAAATGGCCTTTAGTAAATGCTGATTTTATGGCTAAAGCTTCGAATGATAAAATAAGGAAAACTGATTGTTGGTTTTTTAAATGGCATCCAGACGGGTAAAAATAATTTTTTAACTTTGGGGAATTTTGTAGGGGCAATTTTTAGGAGGGAAGGTTTATCGAAATTTGCGGACTGTGAAGCCTTATTAGAATTAAAAACCCCGTATCAGGGGACAAAACACCGTCAAACAAGGTCTACAGACACGTATCGTCCGACGGTGTTTTTCCCCTGACCCTTTAAAATAGGGAACCCTAAGTCTCATGGAACCCTAAGTCTCATGCCAGTCCCTCTTGTTTTTTTTAAATCTTTTTCGGCATACTACTGAAAAAAATGGAGGCCTTTTTCAATAATAGGTAATACACCCAATTATTTTTCTAGATGCCCTCTAGCTTCAGATGTCTGTTCTTTTAAGCATTAGAAAAAATTAATTTGGTATATTTAAAGAGCTTAATATTTAAAAATATTTGTATTATGTTTGTTTGTTATTTTTGTTAAAATTAATACAAAATATTTGGAGGGATTAAACACTGAAAAATAAATTTTAAAATAAACCTTTTCTTTCAAAACTTGTGAAAAAACACAAAATATTTAATATAATGTAGAGAGCTATTTTTTGAATACACTCAAATAGTTGGATCTCTTTTTACGAGGGGTTTCTCTCTTTTTTTCTAAATTTTTTAGGCCTAGAATATCATAACTTAAATAAATTCTTATTTAATTTTTATAAAATAGAGATCCAACTTTTCATTAAGTTTTTTACACAGAGGGGAGGGGAAGGAGGGATATAAGTAACTCGTGACCAACCAAATCGAAGAAAATAAAATATAAGCCTTCTAAAAACTGAAAGCTTTAACCTTTGAATTTCCAAATATCAGACCAAAAAAAAAGTCATAAATTAAGCTAACAAGGGGAAGAACCACCTTATTTTACATGACTAAAAATTTTTTTTCAATTTTGGTTGGTCACAATAATCTCCCCAATTTAATTTTTATATATGCCGAAAAATGGAGAAATAAAACTTAAATAGAATATTTATTTATGTATTTACTTGTTTTGGGTAGTAGTTTTACACATGTGAATATATATTTATTTAATACAGTTAATCATCTACCATTTCAAGATCCTCCTCATTCACTTCTATAATATTTCTCTTCCTATAAAAAATTTTTTTTAAAACAAAAGAATTTAAATTAAAAAAATTTGCAGATTGTCCGCAAAATTTTGCGGATTGTCCGCAAACTATTTACTATTTACGGACAATTTTTGCGGATTGCTACAATTAAATTTTTTAAATAAAAAAATCCGAAAAGGTTAGTAATTGTTTGCGGAATGTCCGCAAAATTTTGCGGATTTTAACCCAAAATTTTTTAAAATTAAAAATCAAACCATTCATCAATATTTCTCAAAACAATATTTGCCAAATTTTTTATTGCTTCAGTCGACCGGGCATCTACAGACAAATTTTCCAACAATTCCAAACCTCCTTCATCTATTACAAAACGACAATATTTTTTTCTGTCTGTAGTTGTTAAATTAGCTAATGCCCAAACAGCCCATTGCTGTGCTCCTTCAGAATGCCATTGTGGTAGCAAGCATATAATTGGTTTAAAGCTTCGATAGTTGATGAAACGGCGTGCTTGCAAATCCCATTTTTCAGTAGCCTGGAAAGGTGAAAAAATTTTTGAGACTTTGAAAGGTAGCTTTTGCAGATTTTGTCCGCAAAAATTTTGCGGATTTTCATAGCGGACAAATTTTGCGGATTTTTCTTCCCTCTTCTTTACAAAATCTTTCTGGGGCTTCAAATAAAAATAAAAAAAATTTCAAAAAAAACCTTAACAATCTTTCTATTAACATCTTCTCGTGGAATATTAACACCAGATTCTGCCCAACGTTCATCTCCATCACTAACTAAATGGGCTAATACACCAGCACTATTGTAAGAAATTTCAATACTTTCAGTTAAGTTGTCGAGTAAATGGCTTAAAGTTGAAAAAAATCTTTTTGTGAGGGTTTTTTGTTTATAGGTATTTTGGTAAACCTTTTTGGCCTTAAAAGTGCTCAGAATCCCTTCCAAAAAAAATTTTTTTCCTACGTTAGAAAAATCCAGATTGGTCTTTCCAGCCCTTACACCTCAATTTTATGTTAGCAAAAACTAAAAAAATTAAAAAAAATTAGAAACCAGAAAATTTCCAAATATGCATTAGTCATTAATTGATTGCGTAATTCAAAAACTTCAGCAATATTTCCAATTAAACCTGAACAGAAAATTTCAAAAAAAATTTTTTTAATTAAAAAAATACCCATCATGTTTCGAACAAGCTCAAAATAGCGAGAACCAAAACGCGAAAAGCATTTACTAAAAAGCGACAAACCATGAGCTTTAAGGAAACGTTCACAATTTGATGGAGTTTCATCTTTAAATTGGGGAAAATTAACAAAATTTTTTTGCAGATTTCCGCAAATTTTTGCAGACAATTTTTACAAATTTTTTTTCTGCAAAATTTTGCGGATTTTCCGCACTTATTAAAATAGAAATTTTTTCAAAAGTTTTTACCAGTAATATTCCACAAAAAAGACCATCCAACTTCCATAACATCATCACAAGTATTCGCACTTAATTTACGTTCAATTTGTTTTAGAATTATCTGAAAGGAAATTATAAGAGGTATTTAAGTATTAAACAAAAACAAAGAAAACCTCAATAGCCCCAATTTCCCCAACTTCAACTTTTTGTTCTCCTTCAACATGACAAGCCATAGAATTGAGCAAAAATACAACTATACGTTGTGTTAAAACATCAGAATTATGCGTTTCCAAAACTTTAACTAACAAATTTGCAACTCTTCCATAATTAAAAAGAATTTCTTGAGGAATATCAAACTGATTTTTTGAAGGTAAAAATTTTTCAGGAAATTTTTAAAGAAAAAAAACCTGGCAAAGACTTAAACAACAATTCCTAACCATTACTTGCTCTTCTAAATGACTTTCCATTCCTTTAAAAAATTAAATTTTTAACAAAAAAAGATAATTAATCAAACCATCTAACAAAGCCAAAATTACACGACGTTTAGTATCTCGATTCATTTTAACATGACCTAAAAAATTAAAAAATAAAAATTTAATTTTTAAAATTGTTTTTTAATAAAAATTTTAAAACATTGCTTCAATAACACGGCTCTTAATATGTTTAGTCTAATATCCCCAAAAGATCATAAACCTTCATTGGACTCATCAAGTTATTATTTATTCATTTATTTATTATTAAATTTAGTCCAAAAAACCAGGCAAATTAAATAATATTACAAATAGATATTTTTATAGGGATTTGGAATTGACGGGAAAAAATAAACCCCTTATTCCCTCCTATATAAAATCTAAAAAATATAAACTAACGTATAATATAAAACATTGAAGCACTTCCAGCAATTTGCAAATCTTTATTTCCCAAATGCATTTTTAATGCACGCAAAACTAAATGAAGAGCGTCAACATAACGATGCTAAAACGGCAAAAATTTTTTTTAATTAAAATTAGGTGCTTGTGTAGTTTACCTCCCAATGTCCCCGCCTTTCCTACTCTCGTACTTTCTTACAAAGGGACTTATTTTCTGAAATAAATTCTGAAAATATTGACCCACCTACACTGCGTTCCAAAATGATACGCACCCCTAGTTTTTTCATGTTTTATGAATTTTCCTCAGTTATTTTAATCGGATATTTTATCTATTGATTCTACATGATAAATGGAATGTTTAAACAAGAAAGTAAAAAAATCCTTAAATTATTTTCCTTTTTATGGCAATTTACTTAAAATATTAGTGTTCCAAAATTATACGCACCCCCCTCATAAAATTTTTGTTTAACAATATAAAAATCCACAAAAATTTTTCTGAACATATCTATCAATATAGATAAGAAATACAAAAGAATTGAAGTTCTGATGTACTTCCATCATCGAGATCTGAAAACCCGAAAATCAACGGAAAACCGGGGGTAGACGTCTTTAAAAAATATTTTCGACCCCTTACAGGTAAAATACAAATTTCATTTTGGGCTTATTTGAAAGTCCTTGAAATTTGCTACAAGATGGTTTTCATCTCATAATCCGGAAAAAATTCTTCTTCGAGAAATAATGAGTTTAGTTTCTAAGTTACCTTTTCATCACTTTTTGGGGGCGTTTGAGTGATTTTTACGACATGAAAGTTTGTCATATTTTGTCTTAAAGGTTAATTTTTTAGGAAAATAAAATTAATGCTATCTTGTAGCAAATTTCAAGGGCTTTCAAATAAGCCCAAAATGAAATTTGTATTTTACCTGTAAGGGGTCGAAAATATTTTTTAAAGACGTCTACCCCCGGTTTTCCGTTGATTTTCGGGTTTTCAGATCTCGATGATGGAAGTACATCAGAACTTCAATTCTTTTGTATTTCTTATCTATATTGATAGATATGTTCAGAAAAATTTTTGTGGATTTTTATATTGTTAAACAAAAATTTTATGAGGGGGGTGCGTATAATTTTGGAACACTAATATTTTAAGTAAATTGCCATAAAAAGGAAAATAATTTAAGGATTTTTTTATTTTCTTGTTTAAACATTCCATTTATCATGTAGAATCAATAGATAAAATATCCGATTAAAATAACAGAGGAAAATTCATAAAACATGAAAAAACTAGGGGTGCGTATCATTTTGGAACGCAGTGTATCACTTTATAAACAAAAGAGGGAAGAAAAAAGGTGTTGGGGTTTATGGGGGGTAAACTACACAAGACTAAAAAAATTTTCAAAAATAAAAAAATTTTCAAAAAAAAAATTCAGAAAAAATTTTCAAAAATTTTTTAAAAAACTTCAAAAAAAAATTTTTAAAAAATATCAAAAAAATTTTCAAAAATTTTTTAAAACTTTCAAAAAAAAAAATACCAAATCAGTCCCAAAACGATATAATTGATAACTTTCATTTAAAACTGTATGCATTGTTTTCGGTCTCTCCAAATATACTTCCATTGCTGTCAATACTTGATCTTCACCATGTTCACCACTAATACGTTCTGCTGGGATATTTGTATATTGCGAACTACTATCACAATTAAATATTCCCAAAAATTTTAAAGGACGACGTAAAAAGCATAAGGCTGGGATGTCACTATTAATTATTCTGAAAAATAATTTTTTTTGGTAAAAATAAATGAAAAATTTGAATTTTATTTTTATTCTCCCTTGTTTTTAGAGAAAAACAAACCATTAGAACCCACTGGGACTAGAACCCCACACCTAATCAACTACGAAACCTAAACGTTTCCAATTACACCACAACCAAACTTAACTCACAAAAACATTTTAAACTATATAATCCAATAAAGAAATTTAAAAATAATTATTAATTAAATACCCTCTTCCAATAAAAGGACGATCATTATCAGAAGAAGCAGAAGTCAAATTTGTCCCAGAAATATCCAAACTAACCAAATTTGGTAAAGAAGTAATTAATGTATGTAAAGAAGTTACTGGACGAGTATAATGCCCATTGGTTCGATCACTTTGAGAAATGTCTAGACTTCTAAAAAAATAAAAAATTTTTAAAAGAAAATTTCTGGTAAGAATACAGGGCAGAGGTGTCCTCAATCAGAAAAAAATTTTTTTACCCAGCCACTAATCCGCAATAAATTTCTAAAAGAAAATATAAAGTCCGCAATTAATTATAAAAATCCGCAATTAATTAAGAAAATCCGCAAATAATTTTAAAAGTCCGCAAATTTTCAGCTGCAGACAACCCTAATTCAAAGGGAATAGTGTCCACGTCGTTTGAACCGAAAAAACTTATATAACTTGCAATAGAAAATTTCACAAAAATAAATTCATGAAAATCCGCAATTAATTTTAAAAGTCCGCAAATACTTGCGGACTGAAAATTTTCAGCTGCGGACAACCCTAATTTTAAGGAAATAGTATCCATATCGGTTAAACCGAAAAAACAATCTTATAAATTAAAATAGAATAATAAAAAAAATATATACTTCAAAGTAGTTAAAGTAGCAATTGTATCAATTGAAGTCTCCAAATCACGAACATCATAAAGCACTAAAGTTGTTAGAAAATGAAGCTTTTGTAGAGGTAAAAAGTCATGAATAACCCATTCAGACAAATCAACAGTTTTTAAATTTGGCAATTCTGAGAAAATACGAACAAGAAAAGCTGATTTGGTTTCATCCTCGATGCTGTAGGTATGACCCTGTGAATTTATTAGATTTTAAAAATAAAGGCAAAACGCCAAAAAGTCAGTCCCAAAAGCCATAGAAATGTGGAAATTACGTCATAACGCCAAATTGTCAAAAACATTCCCTTGTTGCTTGAACATATCCCCGTTCCAGATGAATTTTAGGAGTTGTGAGAGGTTATAAAATTATTAAAAAGAAATACTTGAAGAAGGTAAAGATGCTCTAAAGCCGGACAAAAATGCATAAATTGTGGCGGTGACTCAATTTGAGCTTCATTGTGTTCCATAATTGCACGTAGCTTGTATTCATCCATTTGACTTTCATCTAACGACTCAGAACGTATTACATTGTCGTTTGAAAAGAGACGGCGACTAGAAAAAATTAAAAAAATTTTACAAAGATAAGAAAATTCAGAATAAATGTCCGCAAAATTTAAAATCCGCAAAATTAGTGTCCGCACAACTCTTACAAGGGAACCTCAAAATGTAGCCAAAAATTGTAAATAAAATTATGACATCATGTAGAGCATGGACAATAACATATTCCCAATTTCTAGCTCCAACTCCCGAATCGAAAAGTTATAGCTGATCAATGTTTCAGCCTTTTGGGGCGGATGAGTCTCCCATCATTTTCTTTATTAAAGAGAGATTTTCCCTTTTTAAAGAGAAAAAATACCACAAAAAATAAACTTACATATTATCCTCCATCAAGTCAAGAGGCATTTTCCGATTAGATTTATTCAAATTTGAAACTAATTTTTCAAGAGCAACACATCCAACTGAAGGTTGGTAACGTTGACGATAACGTGGAACACGTAAAATATCCAAAGAATTTAACTTTAGAGAATGTAAATGTTGCAATTTAATTTTTGTTTTGTAAAGGAGTGAGCAAATACCGGCTGCTGTGATGCCCTATAAAAGAAAAAAACTATTTTTTACAGAATTTAGGAGAGGCGATTTCACTATAAGATACACCCAATAGAAGATTCACTTCAATTTAGGATACAGAAATGTCCGCAAATTATAAAAAAAATACTTGGGTTTGGAAAAATTGTATGTTATACATAATAAGGTTATCATAAATTGGAGCTGTCATTTGTGTAGCTTCTCCCATCTAATATCCAACCAAATTAAAAGAATGAATGACCGCTTGATGGGAGACGCTGACCAAAAGATAATTCCATTTAACCCCGCCCTAATTATAGGATAAAATTACTCATTTCAGACACAAGAGTGTATCTTATAGTGCCAGTCTTATTGTGACAGCCTTCCAAAATTCTAAAAATTTACGCCTGAGGCGCAAAATCGAAATTTTCCGGCGCACAATTTCCCCCTTTCCCCGAAAGAAATCCTGGTTACGGGACTGTATAGTAAGGTCAGAAAAAATAAAAAACCTTTGTACTAAGCAGACTTAGCGAAGTCAAAGAATAGCGTTGATTAATCAAAAGAGCAGCCAAAATTCTGTCTGTTATTTGAACACCAGAAAGATCCACAATAGAAACTGGGCACATATCTCCAGAATAAAAAGGCTTTAAAGCATTATCAATTTCTTCTGGGCTTTGGCTGTGTTCTGTATTTCTCCAACGATCACAAATTTTGTGCAAAACCATTTCGGATGGACGTATAGGCAGAAAACCTTGAATATTGGATTGGGTCGAAGGACGTTCACTGATCATTTGGTATTGAATTAATGCTTTTTCTGCAGCAGGATCACGCAGGCCAGCAACTCTTTAAAATAAAGTTTAAATGTTTTGTGAAAATTCCGATGCCTAGCTTGGTTAAGATAACGTGTTAGAGCTCAGATAAATAGGTTTATGGGCCCCTCTTATATGGGAATAGAAGAAAAGGAAAAAAGGGAATAAACGTTCGTGGTTTGGGCTTAATGTTGGTATGGCTAGAGTATTAATGATCCAGAAAAAATATTTTAAAATGACGCTAGAAGTAGGAAAGACTATTACTATTCCAAGCCCCATAAAAATGTACAAATCCAACAGCAATGTTCAAGCCCTAAACCCATATTAAGCCCAAACCGCAAACCCACAAAAACATTACCTTATGATCTACTCAATAAAATTAAAAAAAAGCCCCTAACTATTTAAAATAAAATTACCGGCTATGTCCATGAGGTGATGCTTCTCTCGAATCTGAGATTTTAGATGATGACGATGCAGTCAAAAAAGCTTCGGCCGCACGTTCAGAAATACTTAAATCACGTTTGCCTGTATACAAATAATGTTCAGCATGATTAGCCACAATTTCTGCGCTTAATTCTATTAAAGAAGGCGCCTCTAAAGGTCTATCATTTTGTTGAGGAACGTTTTCAGGCATTGTTTCTGAAAAATAAGTGAAATCATTGCAAGATAAAGAATAAATTCAACAAAGAAACAAACAAAACAATGAAAATTAGAGACCGGCAAAATCGCACTTCCGGGATCCCGAGTCGGGATTTTTTTTCCTAACCGATGCCGGGACGGGATCCCGAGGGAGTAATCCCGAAAAAATCCCGAATTTCAAAAATCCCGAGAAAAATTATCCGGGATCCCGACCGGGATTCGGGATTTTTTTTCAAGATAAAAAATTTAAACTTTTTATGAATAAATGCATCAAAATATTGCAATTTATATGTAAATAAAATTAAATTTGTAAAAATATCAATAATTTTTTATAATTTGAATGGCTTTGTTTAAAAATCTCAACATATCTCCGGTCTTAGGAGCAAAACTATATCGACGATAGCCGTATAAGTCCCCCGATATGATCTGAAAGGTCTAAAGATCTGACATATCAAAGCTTTGTTGTAAATCAAGGCAGTCTTACAATCCCCATTGGGACTTCGACGGACAATAGGAAGTCGACGGACTTCCTATTTCAGCGCCGCAGGCGAAAATTTTGAGAAATTTGTGAGGACAAGAAGCCAGATTTCTTCCTTTTTCAGCGCCGCAGGCGAAAATTTTGAGAAATTTGTGAGGACAAGAAGCCAGATTTCTTCCTTTTTCAGCGCCGCAGGCGAAAATTTTCAGAATTATAAAAATCCCGAAAATTATAAAAAATATCCGGGATCCCGAGTCGGGATTTTATTTTTTGACCGATGCCGGGACGGGATCCCGAGGGAGTAATCCCGAAAAAATCCCGGATCCCGAATAATCCCGAAAATCAAAAAAATCCGGGATTTCGGGAGCGGGATCCCGGAAAATCCCGTCGGGATCCCGTCCCGCGCCGGTCTCTAATGAAAATTAACGAAAAAAGCAAATTTTAGGTGTTTTTTGGATTTGGTCAATCGTATGAGTTAGCAAGAGATAATTTCATTTTATCAACTTTTCACTTCGGTCAGTTGCTAGAAACATTTAATTTTGTCTCAGGGAAATTTTCTTTTGCTGGAGGTGTTTTTGTATTTGGTCAAGCGTATGTTTTGTAGATGAAATATTTCATTTTATCAACTTTTCACTTCGGTCAGTTGCTATAAACATTTAATTTTGTCGTAGGGAAATTTTCTTCAGCTGGAGGTGTTTTTGTATTTGGTCAATCGTATGAGGTGACGTCGAAAATTTCATTTTATCAACTTTTCATTTCGGTCAGTTGCTGGAAACATTTAATTTTGTCGTAGGGAAAATTTCTTTTGCTGGAGGTGTTTTTGTATTTGGTCAATCGTATGAGGTGACGTCGAAAATTTCATTTTATCAACTTTTCACTTCGGTCAGTTGCTATAAACATTTATTTTTGCCACAGGGAAATTTTCTGCAGCTGGATTTTCGTGTTTTCAAGGCACTTTTATTTAATTTTTTCGATAACTTTTTTAGAATCTAGCATTTTTTGTTAGTTACCTTTCATTGCAGACTTGCTTATTTCTTATTTTTTTTAAAAATGCTTTTTAATTTTTCAATTTATTCAGCATCAAAAGACTTTTCTACAATTTAAAATTTTCTTAAATGACAAAGCGTTCGTTAGCTTCTGAAGACAGTGATGATGATGAAATTCAAGCCAGTTCAAGTGAAGCTCGTATTGACTCGCCACATACAAAAAAGAGAAGATTTGTTGAATTTGAACCTATTAGAATTTGTAGTATTGGAAGTGTGGTATGTTTTTCTTTCGGGTGGTGGGGGGGGGGGGTCAAAAGTCGGGTTTCCAGGACTTGGTCCATACAGGACTCCTCTTTGGGTGTGTGGGGCAAAAGTCGGTCTTCAAAGACTTGGTCCAGACAGGACTCCGTCAGACCAAAACTTGGCGTGGGTGGTGAGGGGAAAATCCGGTCTTCTAAGACCTTGTCCTGACAAAACTCCGTCTGACCAAAACTTGGTTCAGACACCGAGTCGCCCTGAAATTTTTTAAAATATTTCTTGAAGGATTTAAGTCTTTTGGTTTCAGAAAGAAATTGAACACAAAGTTCTTCGAGCACAGCATTACAAGCTTTGTGAACGCTTTCGATATAAACAAAAAATTCAACAAGAATTCGAGAAAAGGATTGAGGAATTTGAACGTCGACAAGTTCAGGATGATGCTGTTAATTGTATTATTAACAGATATTGGAACAGGGTTTGTGGAATTTTTTTTGAATTTTTAACACTTTATTTTTGGGTTTAAAAATGGGTAGAATATATTTTCCAATGTGGGGTTTTCATCAAATCCTTAAGTAAAAATGTGTTATGCTTTGACAACGAGTAGAGTTATTTGGGGCGGTTAGTTCTTGCCTGTGGCGGCACAAGAAGAGAAATATAAGAGCATTTGAGCCGCCACAGGGAAAAATTAACCGATGCTCCAACCAGTGATGGAAAGGTTCCAGTTCTGGAACAAGAACCGGTTCCAAAGAAATTTTGGAAGTTTTCCATCACTGGCGCCAACAAACCTGTTTTCACGTCTTGTTTATTTTTTACGAAATATGTGAAACAATTTCTGATCCTGAAGCACGATCATCCATGTTTTTCACTTCATCCATGTTTTTCACTTCTGGCCCCCTTTTCAGTTAGATGCAGACATTCAACTTTTGTTGCAACGTTTTGGTGAAGAAACACCTCAATTACAACTTGACACGGAAGCTAAAGGTTTGCTTTTAATTGTGTCCTCTTTATTATTTTTAACAAAATTTTTAGAAGAAACAACGAGCAGTCCACCCCAGGGCAAACATTTTCTTAATTTACTTGCTCAATGGAGCTGTGATGAATTGGACGATAAAATGAAGCAAAGGGTTGAATTTAGTCAACGGGCAATTGCAAAATTGTTGTTGACATGTGCTAGAATAAGTGAAAGGAATGGTAGGCTGTGTGATTTATTAAAAGGTTTGTATGACTTTTTTAAAATTATTTTAGGGCATGGGGATGGAAATATTTCTAGAAAGGCTTAATTTGTGGGGTTTCAATGCCTTTTTCAACCCTATTTTTCTGGCCATGTTCCTTGTGTAAATGTGAGAGAGATCCACCTAGCTAGCAGTTAAAACACTTGCTTTACGGTGTTTTAAGATCTATTAATAGAGATTGATTTCCTCGGTAAAGCACCTCTACTTGATGAGCGAAAGCTCCTAGCAATAACTGCCATGAGGTCCCAGGACCAATGCCTGCTCGGGGATAAACTTTTACCCAACACAAGGATTTTTTAATTTTTTTCTTTCATTTTATTACTATCTTTTAAATAAAATAGATTATGGGAACAATGAAAACAAACTGGTTAGCGATTCTGACCAAACAGCAAAAATTAATGAAGAATTACAATCTTATGCAACCTCAGTTTTTGAAGAAAACGTGTCTAACAAAAAACTTGTCAATGAATTACAAACAGAAAATCATCGTTTAAGTTTGCAGGTTAAAGTCTTTCAAAATTTTTTTAAATTTAAATAAAAAAATAGTCTTCTTCCTGTGATGATAAAATTGCATTAATGGAATCTAAGGTGGAAACATTAAACAATGAAATTGAGGATCTTCGTTGTCAATTGTTAAAGTCCTTTAGGAGAGAAGAAAAACTTGACTTTCGACTTGCTGAGGTTTCTTATTTTTTTCTTTTTTAAAAGAATTTCTTTTTTTAATATTATCCACTTTTTAAGGTGTTTTATAGGTTACGGATGTCCAAAATATGAATGAAAAAATTGTTTAAAAATTTATATTTTTATAAATATCTTTATGAAATTTAGGTCGTTTTATAAAATATCCTTTTAAGCCTAATTCCTTGTTAAATAGTCTATATTTTGATCATTATTATTGCTCAATTAGTAGAGGAGAAAGGGATATTTCATTTCTATAACTGTCAATTTGATGTTTTTTTGGTATAATTCGATAGTTTACCATCAATTTCCTGTTACGAAGAATTCTCCGTTTGAGTTATAGCCAATTATTGAGTATTGGTCTTTGGGAGTGTCTGGCTAGTTTTTTTTTATTTTCTAATTTTCCCTTTTTCTAGTACATAAAAAAAGAAAATAGTCTAGTACAAGTTCAAGAAGCTGCTTCAATTACCAAAAATTTGACTCAAATTGAAAATGGGGCTATAAATGAAGAAGTTGCTAGTTTGAGTAAATCAAAGGTTTTTTTTCTTAATTTGAGGGATTTTTTTAAAATTTATTTAAAATCAAAAGTTGGAAGAATTACAACAAGATTTGGAAATTCAAACAGATTTGGCTAACAACCGTTTAACAGAACTTAAAGAAATTACAGAAAGAAATAAATCGTTGTCTGCTGAAGTTGAATGTTGTAAAATGAAGGTTTGAATTTTTTTTGAAAAAATTTTTTTCTTAAAATTATTTGTTTAGATGAAATACATTTCGCCGGAGGATATTAAAAATTCGAATGAATATTTGTTTTTACAAACTTCTTTTTCTTCACTTTTTGAGGATTGTAAATTACAAAAGTAAGCTTAATGTTAAATTATTCTATGAGGGTTGTTTTTTATTAAAAATGAGAGGCTTAATGAGAGGGTTTGAACTTTTGTGAAGATTCCCCAAAAAATGTAGAAACAGTCACAGATTTTTTGCCTGTTTTATAATTAAATATCTAAAAATTAACTTAAAATAACTCCTTTTTAATTTTAGAAAAGAAATTGAAGATTTAAAACAAGCAAATGCCCAGATTAAACAACATTATGAGGAACGAATTAGTTCAATGCAGGTTTATTTTAATTTTTATAGAAAATATTTTTTAAGTTTATTAATTAAGTCCTTTCTGGTGTAGTTTAAGTGAAAAACTAAAAAAACTTGAAAGATTTAAATTTTAAAATTAGTATATATTTTAGTTTTTGGGTGAGCTCCTAGTCCATTTTCCCAATTTTGCCTCTTTTTTCAATCTCTTATTTTTTTTAAATTTTTATTTTGCTCCAAAATCAGTCTTGAAATATTATATCCCTTTATTATATTTAAATTTTTAAATTAAAAAAAAATATATTTTTCAAAAAAAAAAGATTGATGAAACAACAGCATTAGAACGTTTTCAACAAACTGTATGTGAACTAGATAATGATTTAAATTTGGCAAGAAAAGAATATGAAAATGTTTGTGTAGATTATGAAATAAATACAATCTCAAAAGAACAAGCAATTCCAATACAAGAACAAGTTAATTCTTTAATGAATACTTTAAGTACACAAAATACTCAATTAAAACAAGAAGTTGCTAGATTAAAAAGAAAATTGCAAGAAGCTTTTGAACAACTTAATATGGTTGGTGGAGGGTATTTTTAAAAGAACTTTCCGGAAGAGTAATATTAAAAATCAAAATTTATATAAAACCTTCCGGAAACTATAAAATTGGTTAATTAAAACTTTCCGGAAGATAAATACAAATCAGAATTTAACGTTTTCCGGAAGGTTCAAAACTGTAAATGATTTTCCGGAAACTATAAAATTGGTTTAATTAAAACTTTCCGGAAAAAATATAACTCACATCAAAATTTAACATTTTTTCCGGAAAAAAATCGGAATTTATATAACACTTTACGGAATGAATAAAAATTATTAAAATTTTAAAACCTTCCGGAAAAATATTAAATAAGAATTATTAATTAAATCAGAGTACTTCCGGAAATATTAAAAACATGCATTAAATGTTCCGGAAAAAGTTAGAATTTATTTTAAAAACTTTCCGGAAAGGAAATAATTAAAATAAAAATTAAATTAAAAATCTTTTTTTATAGTGCAATAAAGAATTGGAAGGTGAAAGGCGTTTAAATAATGACAATTATTTGATTATTAAATTAGAAGAAAATTCTTCCTCTTCTTTTCATCAATTAAATTCTACAACACAACATCATCATCAAATTCCATCGGATCATTCATCCCCAGTAAATTCAGAAAATACTCACAATTCAAATAATGCTATGGATAATGTTATAGATAGTGGTTTAATTAAAAAAGAAGAGCCTATGGATGTTTCTAGCCAAAATGGAGAGGATGTAAGTGAAGAAAAAGAATCTTTTTCTTCAAAGAAAACTAATTTTTTTGTGAAAAAAAATTTTTTGAAAATCAAAAAAAAATTTTTTTTGAAAAAATTTTCAGAAAAAAAATTTTTTTTGAAAATTTTTCTGAAATTTTTTTAAAAAAATTATTTTTTTAATTTGAAAAATTTTCTGAAATTAAAAAAAATTTTTTTTTGATAAAGAAAAATTTTTTTAAGCATCCTAGTAAGCCTCATGTTGTCTCAACATCATCAGGTAACAATCATAGACCGGATTCGTCCAATTCTGCCTCCTCACGTCCCTGTACTCCTGCGGATCTTGGAGCTGAAAATCAACGTTTACGAATGGAAAGGGATCGTTTTAAAGAAAAATTGAGACAATTAGCTAAAACAGATTTACATGAAAAAAGAAAATATTGGACAGAAGAACAAAAAAGAAAAATAAAACATTTGGAAGAAGTGTGTGAAAAAAAAATTAGAGAATTACAAAATGCAAAACAAGAGGAAGATGGGTTAATGCAGGAAATGGAGTCTATTGGGCAAGCTTTTGAAGAGCTTCAGGAACAGGTGGAAAAGAAAAAGAAATTTTATTTTGTGTGAAAATTATTTTTACAATTTTCCGGAAAAATTGTAAAATCAAAATTTAAAAATTTCCGGAAAGAGAATAAATATTACAATTACAATTCTGATTAAATATCTACAAATCAGAATTTTCCGGAAGAGGCAATAAATTAAAATGTAGTATTATAATACATCTTTCCGGAAAATATAAAGGTTCCGGAAAGTGTATAATGTTTACCGGAATGAGTATAGTTTTCGGAAAATTTATATTCTTTCCGGAATGAATATAGGTAGTTTCCGGAAAATATATTTCCTTTCCGGAAAATATAGTTTCCGGAAAGTGTATAATATTTTCCGGAATGAATATAGTAGTTTTTGGAAAATTTATATTCTTTCCGGAATGAATATAGTAGTTTTTGGAAAATTTATATTCTTTCCGGAATGAATATAGTAGTTTTTGGAAAATTTATATTCTTTCCGGAATGAATATAGTAGTTTTTGGAAAATTTATATTCTTTCCGGAATGAATATAGGTAGTTTCCGGAAAATATATTTCCTTTCCGGAAAATATAGTTTCCGGAAAGTGTATAATATTTTCCGGAATGAATATAGTAGTTTTTGGAAAATTTATATTCTTTCCGGAATGAATATAGTTTCCGGAATCTAATGTAAAGGTTACCGGAGTGAATATACAAATTTTCGGAAACAATTTTATACTTTCCGGAAAGAATATAAAAAGTTTTCCGGAAAAAGCTTATAAATTACAATTTATGCAAATTAATTAAGAATAAAAAATTGTTGGAACAATTACGCGAAAAAGAAGAAGTTAATCTAAAATTAATGTCTGAACGTATTCGAAGTACTCAAGGACAGAAAAAAATTAAGGATGAAAAAGATTTGTTAAGTAAAACAATTCAATCAATGGAGAATCAATTAGCAGCAAAAATGTTGCTTTGCCAAAAATTGGAAGAAAAGGAAAGAATTTTAATTGAACAAAGGGGGACTTTGGAACACGAAATTAGGTGCGATTTTGAAGATTTTTTTGATTTCTAAATTAAAAAAAAAATTTTTTTTTTAATTAATAGAATTCGTGAACAACACAACGAGTCATTGAAAAAGAAGGCTTGTGAATTTTCACAATTATCTACGGACTTGAAACTTCGTTTGGAACGTTTGGATGTTCAATTTAATGAATTGAGAGAGGTGAAAAAAAATAATTTTTTTGACAAGAAAAAAATTTTTTAAATTTAAGAATGTAATAAAAAAAGCTTCGACACACGAAGCTGATGCTAACAAAATTAAACGTTTGGAGGAAGAAAAAAGTTCAATGAAACGTAAGCTTGATAGAGCAAAGAAAATGGAAAAATTGGAAAATGTAGATCAAGTTATACAAGAAGAAAATCGAATATTGAGGGTAAAATGGCTCTATCTTAGGACATGCGTCCCATGGACATTTATGCGTCCCATAAACAAAAAATTGAATTTTTCTTGGTGTTGCAAAGTTGAGGTATGGTTCCAAAACATTTCTTCATGTTCGGGACCTACGCCCACTGGGTCTGGGACTGTTCCTTACCCTATCCATCGAAATTTCTGAAAGTTATAGCCATTTTTAAAAATTTCAGAAAAACGATTTTAACTTTCAGAAATTTCGATGGATAGGGTAAGGAACGGTCCCAGACCCAGTGGGCGTAGGTCCCGAACATGAAGAAATGCTTTGGAACCATACCTCAACTTTGCAACACCAAGAAAAATTCAATTTTTTGTTTATGGGACGCATAAATGTCCATGGGACGCATGTCCTAAGATAGAGCCAAAAAAATAAAATTTTTTTTATTCAAAAATTTTCTTAATAAAGGAGTCATTAACATGTCCAAGTTGTAAAGTTAGACGTAAAAATGCAATACTTGAAAAATGTCATCATGTATTTTGCTTTGAATGTATTCGTCAACGTTATGATAATCGTCGAAGAAAATGTCCAAAGTGTAACGCGGCGTTTGGAGCGAATGATTATCATAGAATTTATTTGGAATAGAAGGGGAAGGGAAAAGGAAGGAAGAAAAATTTTTTTTTTAATTTTAGAAAAAAAGAAAATTTTGAGAAATGACGAAGAAAATGTCCCCCCAATTTTTAAATTTAAAAAAAATAGAATTTTTTTCCCAATTTTTATATTGAGACTTTTTTTTGCCAACATTATATAAAAAAATTAGTAAGATTTATGTAATTTCCCCTTAAATTACGCTTTTTGTATTTTTTATTCAAAATTAAAAATGTCTTTTCTATACGATTTCATGAGTATTTTATTTTCTAAATTAATCCCTGGGATGGTACTTCTTTATTTGTAATTTTATTTAAATTGTAAATTGCGATTATACTCTTTCCGGAAAATTTTATTTTTACAAATTAGGTAGTTTAATTATTCTTTCCGGAAAGTTTAATTAAAATTCTGACATTCTATTAAAAATTCTGATTTTCCTGGAAAGTTGTTCTGAAAATGTTTTTAAATAATTCTGATTTAATTAAAACTTTCCGGAATGTTTTATAATTTCTGGTTTGTTCGGAAAGGTTTTATTTCTGATTTTCTTGCTTAAACTTTTAATTCTGATCGATTCTTTCCGGAATGTTTTTATTAAATTCTGATTTTTAGGAAGGTTTACTCTGAAAAAGTTTACCGCTTTAATTAAACTTTCCGGAAAGTTTTGAATTTCCTAGAATATTCTGATTTATCTGTAAATGTTTTAATTCCTTAAATTCTGCTTGGTTCTTTCCGGAAAGTTTTATTATTAAATTCTGATTGTACCCCTTCTTTACCCAAAGTAGATTTTTTGTTTGTCTATTTTCTTTCAAAAAAATTTATATAAAAATTGCTAAAGTTCGTCGCGTATATTATTTAAATGGGCCATCATGGGACATCCAGAAATTGCTGCTTTTTCGTTATCCATTCCATCGAAATTATGCTTCAAAAATATTTTCTTTTAATTTTTTTCTTGAAAAATTACCAAATTATGGTGATGTTCACTAATCGGTTCTGGTTTAATTTTTATTTGTTGTCCTCCAAAAATTTTGTTTATCTGTTCAAGTTGAAGTTGCATGAGTGGATGTGGCTTGTTTTCAAAGTCGACTTAAGAAAATTTTTCTTTACAAAAATTTTTTTTAATTTAAAATTAAAAAATCCTATCTTTGTCTAATAAAATAAAAAAATTTTCTTTTTTATTTTATTTGTAGAAAAAAAATTTTCTGAACGTGATTTTTTTGCATGCAGAAAAAATCTTTTTTTTAATTCATTTGTCACGCAATTTAAAATATAATTTAATTTTTTTAAATTTAATAGAGATATTAAAATGTCCTTTTCCAAGTATATAAGGTCATTTTCCTTGAACTTAAATTTTTTACGTCTTTTAAAAATATTTTAAATGATGTTAATAATAAACATGAATATTTTACTTATTATTCTTACCAAAATTCTGTTTTTAAATTAAATCCGGAAATAAAATCAGAAATAAACTTGTTTAAAAATTCTGTTTATACATATAGTATTTCCGGAAAGTTTAAATTTTTATATAGTAAAATCAGAATTTCCGGGAAATCAGAAAATAAAACTTTCCGGAAGAGAAGTCTAACTAAACTAGAATTAAAAGGGGGTTATTTCCGGAAAGTTTAAATTATTATATTATTTTTCCGGAAAATACTACTTTACATTAAGTTTAATTTTTCCAACCTTTCCGGTTTTAATTTCTGGTTTAATATTTTCCGGAAAGTTTCTAATTTATTATTATTATCTGTTAGTGGGTTTATTCTGTTTTATTCTGATTTTTATTAATTTAAAACTTTTCTCCCTTAAATTGCGTGTTCTTTAAAAATACAAAAATTAAAAAGATAAGCACTTTTGTGAGGGAAAAAGCGTTGCCAAGAGCCATCAGTAATTTTTTCATTATTGTCAGATGTCTTTAGAAAAGCGTGCCCTAGCAATTCAACAATATTATTTGTAAATTCATCTCTGAACCATTCAACAGTTGGGACTGGTACGCAATGAATTGACTTGAAAAAAATATTTTTTTATTAAAACCCCCTCAGAGAAAAATTTTTTTGTAATTTTAAATTAAATTCTAATAACCCACTTCCCCATTAATTTTTTTATTTTTTATTATGACAATAAAACACCCACAGATACAAGTAACACGCAAAATACAGCAGTCTCTTTAAATTCTTTTTTATTGCTCAAACCAAGTTCAATTAAAAGCCCTTCCAATGGCAAAGAATGTGCTTTGTCCAGTTCAACAAGTTTTATATTATTTTTAAGTTTATTTCCAAGTTTGCTTGGAAGTAAAGAAAATAAGGTGCGCAATTCTGGGGAAGTTTTGTAATTTGAGTTGTAAATAAGGAATAAAGTTGGTTCTGGTCTGATAACCAAATCGGTTGTAAATCCGTTTCCAATATCAAGCTTAAAAGAAAAATTACAATTTGTGATTTCGTTCCGGAAAATTACAAATTCTGATTTTATTATTTATTTATTTTTCCGGAAAGTTGTAAATTCTTTCCGGAAAACTACAAATTCTGGTTTTATTAGTTATTTTTCGTTCCGGAAAATTGTAAATGTTTCCGGAAAATTACAAATTCTGATTTTGTATTTATTTATCGTCCAGGAAAATTGTAAATTCTTTCCGGAAAATTACAAATTCTGATATTATTATTTATTTATTTTTCCGGAAAATTGTAAATACTTTCCGGAAAGTTACAACTTCTGATTTTATTATTTATTTTCCTTTCCGGAAAATTACAAATTCTGATTTTGTATTTATTTATCGTTCAGGAAAATTGTAAATTCTTTTCGGAAAATTACAAATTCTGATTTTATTATTTATTTATTTTTCCGGAAAGTTGTAAATTCTTTCCGGAAAACTACAAATTCTGGTTTTATTAGTTATTTTTCGTTCCGGAAAATTGTAAATGTTTCCGGAAAATTACAAATTCTGATTTTGTATTTATTTATCGTCCAGGAAAATTGTAAATTCTTTCCGGAAAATTACAAATTCTGATATTATTATTTATTTATTTTTCCGGAAAATTGTAAATACTTTCCGGAAAGTTACAACTTCTGATTTTATTATTTATTTTCCTTTCCGGAAAATTACAAATTCTGATTTTGTATTTATTTATCGTTCAGGAAAATTGTAAATTCTTTTCGGAAAATTACAAATTCTGATTTCTCTTTGGTTCTTTTCCGGAAAGTTGTAAATTCTGATTTACTTACAACTAGAGGCATACTCTCCCTAGTAATATGCTGTAAAATTGAATTTGCATTGAATACTCCCATATGAACTATTTCTTCAGAATTTCCTTTAAATGACCGCCTAAAAGTACTGAGACGTGGAACGTCTAAACTAAAAGTTAAAATTTTATTTATTTTAATTTTTATTTTTTTTCCTTTGCCTTTTGTCTAATTTATATGCTAATTGGTATCGTCCAGCGAGTAATACAGCCACCCTTCTATAGGATTTAAATTCGGCTTGTTGCTCATCTCGGAAAATTCCCATAGTGACTGGTCCAAATTCCATCAAATTATTTTTTGTTTTGACATCCTTTATATAAATAAGCGACCCCATAAGGATTAGACGTATCCTAGAATTTATAGGGATTTCATCATGTATGTACACTATTTCCCAACCAGTTAATAAAAAATCCCTCGTCCCCAAGCCCCATTTGTTGTCCAACCCGTTGTCCGTCCATAAATGCGAGAAACTGAGGTTTCTGCTTTGGCAAGATACCAAAAGCGTGGCAAAGCTCTACTCCTTCCTCATCGCATTTTACAACACCAAAGACTGCTTCACGTTTTATATTTAACTTTTTGTTGATCTAAGGAATTGAAAATGCTATTGTTTTTCCGGAAAAATTTAATTTCATTTATTATTTTTTTATTGTTTCCGGAAATTTGTTTCAGACTTTATTTCTTTCCGGAAAAGGTTTAATTTGATTTATTTTTTTATTGTTTCCGGAAAAGGTTATAACTTCTGATTTATTATTCTCTTTCCGGAAAAGGATAATTTATATAATTTATAGTAATAATTTATATTCTTTCCGGAAAAGTTCTAAATTCTGTTTTAAAATCTGTTCTACTATTTTCTTTCCGGAATTAATATTAATACAATTTTGAATACTCACCCTATTTTTCCATTTATATGCAGAACGTTTCCAAAGGTTTAGGGCATGTTCCCCCAACGATCCTTCCGTTCCCCAAAAAAGGACAAAAATGCCGGGGGAATTCTCCTTTTCTGTTTGAGTTTCTATTGCCTCCACCAATTCAGAGCCATGAAAATGTTTTAAAAATGAAGAGCCTTGAACGGCTAGGCTTTCAGCAGAATCCTCAAATATTGGCTGTCGTTCAGCGAGTATCTTCAGATTTAACATTCTAAGCTCGAAAGGGGACCTTAATTCTATCCGGCTTTGCTTCTCCTTTTTATTTTTCAATTTTTCTTTGAGATTTTCACGCATTTGTTGCTCCATCTCAGCAGCCCCCACTTCCCGTACAAACCCTGGAAGAGCATTTTCTGCCCCAAATTCTAACAGAGAATGGATTGAATGTCTGCTGAGGGCATCTAACAAAGCCATTTCTAATCTGCCTTCAGCTTCAGCGCGATTCCTTCCAACAGCCTCCCAATTTCTTTCTCTTGAGAGACTGTATACGGCAGCGCCTGTTCGTCTATAATATTTTAACTAAATATTATTAGATTTCCGGAAAAGAGTAAATTCAGGTTTATTTAAATTTTGTTTTCTGGAAAGTAATAAATTCTGATATAATAATATTAAATTTCCGGAAGGTTGTGATTCTGGTATATTTATTTTTAATTTCCGGAAGGTAATAAATTCTGATTTATTTTTATTATTATATTTTCCGGAAAACAGTAAATTCTGGTTTATTTTTATTATATTTTCCGGAAGGCAGTAAATTCTGATTTATTTATTATATTTTCCGGAAGGCAATAAATTCTGATTTATTTTTATTATACATTTCCGGAAAATAGTAAATTCTGGTTTATT